GAAATCAAGGATCAAAATCAATCAAAATCATTGTTTCCCCTACCATTGTTTTAGGGGGGCCCTCCTAAAATGCTGACGAAATCCAGTCGTAAAAAAGGAATTTACTGTATATTTTCGAGGAATAAATACAAAGCGGTTCAGTACACTTGAAATCAAATCGTGATGTAGACTAGTGTGTGTGAATATTAAACCACAAAGACTATTTAAATACAAATCCTGCTTGCCTTGTTCAGTGTGATGAATAGTGCAGCTGATGCGCAGTTTTATTTATCACACACACACTGAAGACACTAAAGCACGTGTGACGCTTGCGCTGTTTTTTGCCTTTATGAAGACAGAAATGCATGAACTTCCTCTCCAGGCTCTAGATCCACTCTGAAAGTCATTTTGTGATCATTTAACTGCTTCATTTGTATCATCATGACATAAACACACAGAAACTCAAAAGGTCTTCGCGGCAACCCGTCAAAATAAGTTTGTTTAACTAGACAGAAATGTATTACTGTTGTACAATTTAGATATGTCCTAATGTAATAATACACTAATACTAATCTAAAAAAATTATGAACTTTTTTTAAACAAAACTGAATTTAAGGAATAATCCATGTTTTAATTTTAACAGTAAAGCTCATTGTGCAGCATGTTATTTTACAGAAAGATGATAAAATTTGTATTTTATGGCTTCATTTTATTGGGAAACACTGAAAATTGTATATACATACAAGCATAACGTAGAACACCAGCTATTTAAAACACACACACAACATTACCCGTATGCTAGAGAGTCAAAATAAGTCTTTAAACTGGATTTAAAAGCATCCAGTTATGGAGAGGCCCTGATGTTCAGAGGTAGACAGTTCCAAAGCTTTGGGGAAGACTACAGAGAAAGCTCGATCACCTTTTGATTTACAATGAGAATGAGAGTCGGATAAACAACCTTTTCACAAGATCTCAGTGACCTAGAGACTGTGTATGCCCTAATAAGATCGCAAATAAAATCCCAGGCCGAATTGTGCAGTGCCTTGTAAGTGAAAAGACGCTGAGCCAGAGAGACAGGTGCTCTCAGCGCTGTCATATATCACAACTATTCAATGTTTTAAACCACACAAACTTTTTTCATTTAAATACACATAAGTAGGCTTCTAGCAAAAAAAAAAAGCCTTTGGTTTACCTAACAGACAAAGTGCTGTCATGAAGCATCTTCCTCCCCGTCTGGCTTCCAGCAGGATCATCTTCTGGAAAATGAATATTTTATCACCATTTCCAGTCACACACACTGTAAATTGATCAGACATGCATACTTGAATTCAGATTGAGATTATTCAGCCACACAAGAGCAACTCCTATTAAAACTGTCATATCATGATATGGCTTTTGCAGTTGCGTCATGGCCTCTAATAATAAGATGTTTATTGATATCATTTTGGTTCATCCATTCAATATTCAATCTGTTCAGGAGAATATGTTTTGTGACCATGAGATATCAATACCTGTAAAATCATTGACATTGTTTCTCTCTCTCTCTGTTTAGACATCGAAAGTAAAAATGGGAGATTAGAAGATTACACAACCTACAGATCAAAGACGCTGTGTTGCTGGCGCAAACAGCAGCTGTAAATACATAGTAAATTATTTAAATGTATTTTCCTTTGTCTGTTTTTAACCATCATTTTCTGAAGATTGAATTATTGTGTGTGCACCAATTTGTCTTAAAAGAGTGCATGATGATGTCAAAGGCAGATCTTTGACAACTCACTTAGTTTGACATCTCATAATACTGAAAATAAAAATATCACTTAATGTTTTGGCCATACCTCCATGATGTCATAATAAATATCAAATTTAAACATTAGAATTTTTATTTTAATTGAGAGGTATTTTATTTATTAAAATAGCCTTATAATAGAAACAATGACCCTGGAGACAGAAAAGACCCAATGTTCTGGTTCATTTTGACACACAGGGTGTTATGTTTGTAATCATCTCAAATTTCAATATATAATTCGTTGTGATTGTTCTGTACAGTACAAGAAAAGTGATCAATTGCATTAGTGTGGTTCTGTGCATTGGATGGCTGTAAATCGTAAAGTATTCTGTATGCAAGAATATTCTTGTATTTGCGTGATGACACCTGGTGTATCCAGTGTGCTTGACCTGATCTCACTCTCATGTGTTGTGTTTTTATGTTGAATTCAAGTAAACAATATCTTTGAGAAAACAGTTATACCAACACTATGTTAAAAAAAGAAAAGAAAAAAGAATACCAGTCTCCAATTGTATTTCTACCGGTGTGGTCCCTCACTTTGTAGGGCTAACTTCAGTTCAACTAAGTTAAAAATAAGAGGATATAATAATAATCTGATGTGTGTACATATTAAATACAGCTGTTTATTTTTTTTGTGTGTGTGTGAAGCATGAGGGTGTTTGCCATTCTGTATTTCCCTAGTTGTCTTGTGATTTTTGTCTACTTTTTGTATTTTTTTTCTTCGTTTTTTGGAAGCAAGAAGTGGTCTTTATTCCCTAGGTCCCTGTCGTTACTGTATAATGTCTTCAATCAAAGCTGGATGAACGATATGTAACATCAACTTTGTTGTTCAGTGATTTCTGAAAATTATAGCCCAGGAAGTTTATAGCAGATAAGCACAGCAAACAGCTGTTGAAGGTTACATACATTAGATTCCATATTTATTTTAACACAAATAAAAGCCAGGTTTTACTGTATTTTAAGATCTCATTTTCACAACCAAAATTTTGGCCATTTGAAATGTTGTGAAAAAATGTACATTAAGTTTTGCATCTGCTGAAAAATGTAGCAGTAAAACAGCCCATTTAATCATCACAGCCTCACTTTCACTCACGTTAAATGAAATATGGTGTTTACCCTTTGCTAAGGTCCATTGGTTATTGAATTCTAACAGTATAACAATGATCAAACTTGTAAGATCAGTTAACCTTCGTTTAGCTATACTTGGATGCTTCTCTGTCAATGATGTGTTTGTGAATTGGAGGTACATACTAATACTAAACTTGATTTTACTAACTGCTGGACTTGTGAATCACTTCAAGTCTGGTAAACAAGATGATCTGTGTAATTCTTGTACTGGTTTTGTGAAGTGATGCATTATTTGTATTATTTTTTTTTTCACCCTCGTTCTTTACCTGCAAGTGTTTATTTTAAAACATTCCAACTTAGCCCTGACTCAGTGGTTAACCTACTCCTGGGAAATAACTCCTGCTTTAGGTCTCATTATAGTGGGGCTTCCAGGACCTGGACTGGCTGTCTGTGGTCTAGTGGTTCAGGAGTTGACTTTTTTTTTCATTTCTCCTATTTCAGTGATTGTTAAATATGTTAATGTGGTGATTCCATTGTTTTGATGTGTATAAGTGGATCCTCTAGGCTTCATAATTGTCCTCTAAGAAATAAAAAAGAAATGGTGGAAAAAGTGGAATAGTGGAAAAGTTCAGTGCCATGTTTTATGTTTATATTAGCAGTAGAATTGTATAGCATAACTCAATAGATGACTAATAATTTGGTTATATTTTAGTGCTTTACACTATAGATGTGGATCTGCACACTCCATGATGGATCAGCCAATAGAAGTAAACTGGCTAAATCATCATTACCATATTGCAGGAGGAAATGCACTACTATTCAAATGTTTGGGGTTGGTCTGATTTTCTCTTACTCAACAGGGCTGCATTTATTTGATTATAATACAGCAAATTTAGTAATATTATGAAATACTGTGATACAATTTAAAAAAAAATTAAATGTAAGTTATTCCTCTGATTGCAAAGCTGAATTTTAAGCACCATTACTTGTCTTCGGTGTCTCATGATCTTTCAGAAATCCGTCTAACATGCTGATTTGGTGTTCAAGGGACATCAAGAAGATATTATTGATCAATTACATTATCAATTATTTTATATTATTATTACACTATCAATTTTATATTAATTTTGAATCAAAATCCCACGTATTTTATAGAACATATTTTGTGAATTATGTGCTCTAAACTAAAATATTAATATAAGTTAGCTAGTATGAACTAGGCTATGTAATTTTTTTCTTTTTTTTAGGGTGACTCTTACCAACTGTCTAGGGACTGCGGATGAAAAATAGCCTTTAGGCAAATTCTGGCATATTGACAGAAATGTTTATGAATATGCACTGTCCCTGTACTAAATAAATAAATAAATAAGTTGTTGCGGAAACAAGTAAACAAATAATGGTTTATTATAATGGTTAATAATGGTTTGATGGTAATAATGGTTTGATATTTTAATATTATTACTGTATCTTTTTTTTTGCTGTTTCTTGAAAATCTGCCAACTAGCTCTGATCTTCCCTAAATTAAAGCAAAATTATTCCGATTTAAACATATACATACAAATTAAAAATACAATATCAAAATATCGTGCTTTGGAAATTGCCAATGTATACCACTAAACATTATTTGGCTATGCATGATGATTTATTAAATGCAGCATTGTCCAAGCATTAGCGATCAGGTGACTGCTTTAAATATCCACCAGATGGCGCCAAAGGACGCAACACCGTTTCATGGATTTCGTTTATATCCTTCAAGACTCATAAAAGGAGAGCGAGCCTCACCTGTCAACCGTGATTGCTGTAAAAGAGATACATTTAATTCTTGACTGAACTGCAATGAACACGTTTGGGTAAAAAATTGACCACGAATCGATGGATGTTTGATTCTCTCGCTTTCAATCATGCTTGTGTGAAACTGCTCAAAATTGGGAAAAGAGCTGCTATTAAAAAATAAATTGTACATGTGTGTTTCAACCAGTGGTTTTTCAGCCCAGGCACAACAACAACAACAAAAAGAATCAAAACAAAATTCCAAAACAAAACACTATGCTGCATGGCTCGACAGTCGACACCTATCGAGGTGATATTAACTGCGCCCTCTTGCGGTGCATAAGCAGAACTCCGATTGAGCCTTCCGAGTCTCCGTACTAAAGAAAACCTGCCTCCCTATTCCTTTATTCGCACACCCATCATCTCTCCTCGCAAAAACACAGACCGGGCAAATGAAAATACAGGGCAAAATATTCAGTCTCATCGTTGGAGTGTACGCTGTTGATAAGGGCTCTGAACAACATGGAGAAATATAATGTCCCTGCAATATGGCATAATCCTTTCACCAGTGTGCATTTCTTTCCGAAAAATGAATTAATCGGCGTTATCTGCAGAAAGAAATAACGGTATCCGGCAACTAACTTGCTCCTTTTTATATGGAAATTATGATCAAACTAACTGTATTTCACACAGACGACACCTTTATGGCTGAAACTGACAGTTCTTCCGAAATAGACAGTCAGCTGAAGTGAATACAACAAAGATGAATCCCTTTTAGAGGAGCCCCCCTGGCTTGCATAGGAACAAGGTAAGAAATTGCATGTTTGTGTTTACGTTGTGCAAACAGAAAACATTTTAATCTCTGCACGACTTCCTTTGAACGATGCTCTTTGTTTTGCCCTAATATCACATGCTATCTTTATTGCCTGCCATCTTGATCAAGGCGTACATATATTCAGCATAGAGATGCTGCCTATACAATCTTAAATCTTGGCCACATCACTTTACCACAAAATAGTATTTTTCATCGAAATGCACATTTCAGCTCCTCCCAGCAGCAGAGATATAAGCAGAGGGATGATGCTGTGTAATGGTACCCACAGCACAGCATCCATGGACAGCATCTTACCCAGTGTCTCAGGACAGGAAGCTGGCAGGACATGTGTGGCTTTGTGGCCGAAGATCTGAGAGTATGGATGGAGAAGAATTTAGAGTGAACACTCTGTTGATGTTTAATGCGTTATAATGATATTTAGAATACCTTACAATGCATCTTTAAATAACTGTAGATTCTCATTAATAACAAACAAAATTATGAGACTTACATAATACATACCTTCAAAGAGTGATTTGAAATATGGTTAAATCCACATTTCATGCCTATACTCATTCTTAAGCATGAATGGGTACATTTTAATGTCTATAATAATTGGAAACCATCTTTTATAAACAATGATGGATCACATTTTTTATCATAATGCATGATGCTTTTTTAGACTTCACAAAAAGTGTTTCTGAATATTGTGTAGGAAGCTTTCTTACAAAAGTATGGCGTATATGAAACATTTTTCCATTAACCTTTTGATTAGTAAATTATTAATGAGAGCACATCATGGCACTTAAGTCTCAGGGCAACCGCTGTTTATAGGGTCCAGTTAACATGCTGCTGTCTTCCCTTTTTATTTAATCGGTGGTTGCAGTATATCACGTTAATTTCGCAAATTGTGATACAGTCTTAAACAGTTCCATTCATAAAAACATCACGTTTGCTCAATGTCAGCTCATGCATTACGGCATTGAGACAGTTTTGTTTTGATGTTTTGTTGTGTAGTATTGTTTCAGTTTCACTTGCAAATAACCCGTTTCTCTTTCTTTAACCTTTTTTTCCTCTTTATCAAGACTATTTTCTGCGGAATATCTCCTATCCTGTATGTTAGCAAATCCGTAACAATATCACATAGTAGCCAGTGAGGACTGAAGTTTTAGCATGTTAAAAGGTTTTGCTCACATGCTTGTGTATAAAAACATTATCCAGTCCGTATTTAGATCCTGCTCTGAATATCTTGTCCGTATCATATATATATATATATATATATATATATATATATATACAGTGCCCTCCACAATTATTGGCACCCCTGTTTAAGATGTGGTTGAGGACTTTTAAAAATTCTCCCTTTTTTTTAAACAACATAGAACCCAAATGCAAAAAAAGAGAAAAATCCAACCTTTTATTCAAGTACATTACTTTGGTGGTAAAAAAAAATGTAAAAATTTAGAAAAAATAAAAACTTCAAATCCTGTGTCCCACAATTATTGGCACCCCTAACAATTCCGCTGAAAAATGTAATTGATTTTTAAAAAAATATATATTTTCTGTAGTTGCTAATGTTGGTCAGGATATCTAGGAACTTTTAATTAGTAATTCATGACTTCCTATTTCCCTGGGGTATAAATATGACATGACACAGAGGCCTAATTCTCTTACCCATTTGTCAACATGGCAAAGACAAGAGAACACACCATTCAAGTAAGGCAGTGTGATGACCTTTATAAGTCAGGCAATGGCTACAAGAAAATAGCCACTCACCTTATATTGCCCATATCTAAAGTTAGAGGAATCATTAAGAAGTTTAAAACAACAGGAACAGTGACAAACAAGGCTGAAAGAGGTCCCAAGTTTATCTTGCCACAACGCACTGTGAGGAGGATGCTAAGAAAAGTAAAAAAAAGTCCTAAGCTCACTGTCACAGAATTGCATCAAATAGTGGCATCTTGGGGTCACAAAATCTCCAAAACAACCATCAGACGCTCTCTACATGCCAACAAGATGTTTGGGAGGCATGCTAGGAAAAAGCCTTTTCTCACTAACACTGACAAACGTAAACGTCTGGAGTTTGCCAAGCGGCACTGGGACTTCATCTGGGATCGTGTGCTTTGGTCGGATGAGACTAAGATTGAGCTTTTTGGCAACAAACACTCTAAGTGGATCTGGTGTAAAACAAAAGATGTGTATGCCGAAAAGTACCTCATGCCCACCGTGAAGTATGGTGGAGGATCTGTGATGCTGTGGGCCTGTTTCTCTTCCAAAGGCCCTGGGAACCTTGTTAGGGTGCATGGCATTATGAACGCTTTGAACTACCAGGACATTTTAAATAAAAACCTGATGGCCTCTGCCAGAAAGCTGAAGATGGGTCGTCATTGGGTCTTTCAGCAGGATAATGATCCAAAACGTGTGGCAAAATCTACACAAAAATGGTTCAGTCACAAACTCAAGGTCCTCCCATGGCCATCTCAGTCCCCAGACCTCAATCCAATCGAAAACCTGTGGGGTGAGCTAAAGAGGAGAGTGCACAAGAGAGGGCCCAGGATACTGGATGATCTAGAAAGATTTTTCAAAGAAGAATGGTCAAAGATCCCTCTCTCTGTGTTCTTCAATCTTGTGAAATGTTATAGGAGGAGATTAAGTGCTGTCTTGTTGGCAAAAGGGGGTTGTACAAAGTATTAACATCAGGGGTGCCAATAATTGTGGGACACATGATTTGAAGTTTTTATTTTTTTAAATTTTACTTTTTTTTTTTACCACCAAAGTAATGTACTTAAATAAAAGGTTGGATTTTTCTCTTTTTTTGCATTTGGATTCTATGTTGTTTAAAAAAAAGGGAGAATTTTTAAAAGTCCTCGACCACATCTTAAACAGGGGTGCCAATAATTGTGGAGGGCACTGTATTAGGGTTGTGCAAAAATTAATCCAAAATAAAAGTCTGTGTTTACATAATATATTTGTGTGCGCTGTGTGTATACACACACACACACACACACACACATGCATCTATATATTTAAGAAAATGTGTTATTCATATATACAATATTTATATATAATATAGATTATGTATTTATTTATATACACAGTATTTACGTACAAATAATTCTTAAATATATACATGCATGTATATGTATTTATAAATACAAAATAAGTAACACACATATAGTATGTAAACACAAACTTTTATTTTGGATGCGATTAATCGTAATTAATCTTTGCACATCCCTAATATTAGTGCTGCCAAATTGATTAATCACGGTTATTCGCATCTAACATATAAGTGTTTATATCATTTAAACGTGTTTGTGTGTGTATAAATTCATATATTTGCATACATAAATGGGTGTGTATATACACAGACATTATATGAACAAAACTAAATAAATAAATATTGAATGTAAAGTAAATTAAAATATAATTCTGATTATATCACAGACAGGATGGAAAGTTAAATAGGGTGTCAATTTGAGTTTTAGCTGTACTCATTTTCAGTCAGTCACTTCTGTTGTCTGATATGTGTCCATTAGTTCTCGTCGGTTCCTCCAAGAGACTTTCTCTCAATGACTGTATCTGTTCCTCTCATTCACCCACACAGTCTGCTTTTTAAGCTCTTCTATATCTGAGAGGCCCAAGGGCAGATTGTCCATTGGTCCAATTTTACAGTTTGTTTTAAACAGGAGCTGCTCTGTTTGGTTAATCTGCCTGCATCCACCAGAGATAAATGGCCTTTCGAGTCTGCTGCCGCCCATGAGTTCCTTTCCGTCTATGATGGGAATGGTTTTGATGGGAAATTAGGGATCAATGTGTATTGTGCTATGCTCAACAAATACACGAGGCATGTCTATAGAGCGAAACCGTCGGTGTTGGGATTTGTTGTCATGGGAACAGTAAGACCCACAAAGGTAGCATGAAGTGGACAGCTTTGTTTTGTTCACTGTCTTTTGTTTTGTCTCTTCCGTCTCTTTCTCAGTAACAGTTTAAAGTGAACTTGTGAGCGTGAAAATAACAAATTATTTATGACATCAGTCAAGTCTGGTTGTGCCCTGGAGTACAGAATGTGTTTGTCGGTGTCTGTTTATTTCTTGGGGAGTTGCAAGGGTATTTAGGTGAATGGGGATAATCATGTCTAAGTCTATCCAGATGCCAACTTGGAGGTCCGTCCAAACGAAGGCTTCAGCTGCGGCGGTTTAATTTGTCTCTTGGCTCTGAGTAGAGTGAGCAGCTGGACTTGAGGCAGGCAAAAGCTGGGGCCGCGGTCTGTGGAGCTCACACGCTAACGGAGCTGGAGCGCAGCCACCAAAGCCTTTCTTCAGCTTGTTTGTGTGCTGTGGTATGAACTCTGTATTAAGACAATGCTGTGTAATTAGCCGTACGGGTTCACATTTTGCTCAGGGAATGTCTCCGCAATGGCTTACCTTTGTGATGTTCAGAATTAGATACATTTCAAACTCTGAAAGAGAAAACTGCCTGGTGTTCAAATAAGGCTGCTGAAATGTTGTCTTGCTTGAGTTAGGCTTAACCCTTGTGCATCCTTGTGGACATTTTTGTCCTTTTCAGTTTTGTTTTTTTGATCACTTTGCCTGTGTTAAAGCTAACTGCTAAAAACTTGGCACAGGTGTGTATTTTTATTGGAATTTTACTATTTCACCGTGCTTTTCTTAAAAAAATATTTTTTGCATTTGGTATAAAAAATACTCCCTCTCAGCACCTTTTGGACAAAAATGTCCCCATTGAAACCCATTAAAACTGCCATTTTTAATCCCCGGTTCAGTTAACTATAAAATTATGCAATCTTTGTTAAGAGGCTTTCATTCTGATGGCAAGGCTTCAAAATTTTATTTTTTACTTTTTTTTTTATCAGATGGTGCCTTTTTTTGAGTTTGGCCTATAAAACAGATATCGCTTTATTCCTGTTTTCTGGTTCGGCATACCATAGAGCCAACTGGATAAATTATGCAACAATATTTGTGTGGGTGTGTTGG